CTTTACTATTTAAATAATACTTTTTAGATATATTTCTATAACAGTATTTTTATTTAAATTTTGACTCATCAATATATTATTGAAAATAAAACCATGTTGAATTATTGTTATTGATAACTTAAATTTTCTAGTCTTATAATTAAAATACTAAAGATTTGATAAGAATATAGTATTGATATCTATCTGAGGATATAAAAAAAATTATTATAAGGTCCTAATATTGATAATTATTTATAATTAATATGTTTTTATAAGTGATTTTGATTTAAAACTATATTAATCCTTATTTTTTGATAAATTAATTATAAATTTGATATTAATCTAGAATTAAAGAGAGTTTTAGAATTTATTTCCATATTTTTTAAATAAACTTTTCTCAATTAAAAAAATTGTTTGTTAAGGTTCTCTGGATAAAAAACAATTTACTTGCTAAAGAACCTTTCAAAATAATTAGATGATTAAATAAATAAAAATTTATGATTCTTTTATTATTATCATTCATTCTCTAATTCAAGTACAGTATCAGGCAATTCAGTTAAATGAGGATGTCTTCTAATTTCAGATTATGCTTGACCTTTCAAATGTCTTAAAACTAAGACTCTATAAAGGTGCGCTATTTCCCATTAATCTAATGGCATTTTCCTTATAATTTATATAAAGAAATACCAATCATCACTTGGAGGTTTCACCATAATTTTGAGTAAATTAGAGTGTTTTTATTTATATTTCTCAAAAAAGTCAATAAAATTCAAATTTTCAATGATTTCCAGATTATATTCTTTAGCCTTCTATTCAAATGCTTATAATTCGATTAAATATTCTGGTACATATTTAATTTAATTATCTTCTTTAATTCCAACTGAATCTTCCAAATAAAAATAGTATTATTAACCAAATGGTTTATTTTTAGGGAATTATAGATTCTGAAATTTTAATGAGAAATATTGGTTTTTTGAATATACATAATTACCTTCATAGTCTTTTACTGTAAATTCTCTCATTTTTTTAACTAAAACATTTGCATCAGTTATTGTCATTAATACAATTCCTTAATTTGTCAATCTACATGTAATATTCTAAAAATTAGAAATGTTTAAAATACTTCAAACATATTTTCAACAGCTTATTCAGAAGAAAATAACAAGTTTGCCATAAATTACATACTAACAAAGTCAAAATATAAATCCTATGGTAGTCTGGATCTAAACAAAGTAGAATCTGAATCTGCTTTTGTTTCCATCAAATATATTTTTTAAATTTATTTTTTCTTATCTTCTTTTTATCTGATATATCAATTCCAAACCAAAGTCCAGTCCCTGCCTTGCTCCATTTTTACATATCACCACCCTTACCGCAACCCATTTCGAAAACATTTAATAACTTGTATTATGCTTATTTTTATTACATTTCTTTTATCAGCAAAATTTTGCTTAAGTGCTGAACTATATTCATTTATTAAAACAGCTTTAACCCAATTTTAAATGTTTCTTAGACAAAAACAAAAGGAAAAAAAATTAAACATATATTAGAAATCTATAATTAAAGATATCTCATCCTAAATTTAATCTGAAAGAAATTAAAAATCAAAACCTGATATCTTTGATTTAGATTCTGTAAATTAATAACAAGTTTTTTCTTGATTTTACTCATGATTTCTACTTAGATTTAAGTTTAAAGTAATCATATTTATTCATTAGATAAATGGATTTCAATCTAAGATTAATAATGAAATAATATAAATTAAGAAATTCAATTTTCTGACTTCTATTAAACACTAATAAAAACTAATTATTCTTTTGATAAATTATTAGTCAATCTGATATTTAATCTAATATATGATAAAACTTTACTTTTCATTTTCATAATATTTCTTTTTTAAAAAAGCTTTTCTTAATTTTGAAAAATTAATTTTAACATTCTCTTCTTTCTATCGAATAAGTTTTAGATTTGTTGATAAATATTTTGTATATTTAGAATTAGTTTAAGCTTTAAGGAATATGGAAAGCAAGGATGATAAAATCTGTGGTTTAAACTTTTTGTAATAAACCTTTAGGATATTTTTAACAAATGGGTAGCTCAATATTAAGCTGATCAATATTATAATGGTTTAAATGAAAGCTGATATGACATAATTTTCTTCATATTCACATATATATTTTACAGCCGCTAGGAATATTGCACCAGAGCATAGCTAACCAGCTTATATGTCCAAAATATTAAATTTTTGCAGGATATATGGTTTAAAGTGTTAGGATAAGAATTAATAAATCAATAAACACAATCCTAACAAAGAAGCTTTTAAAAATATATCAGTTTCAAAATAAATCAGTATTATTATTATAATTGTTTTCTTCCATAGTTTAATCCATTCCCAAAAGTAGGTTTTTCCAGTATATTCATTAAATAAATACCCAATTTATCTTCTATATTTAATTTTATTAAGTTTGTCTTTCTTAAAGTAAAGGAATATGAACATCGAAANGAAAATGGTTCTATTATTTCTAATTAATATTTATAATATACATTTTTCAACAATAATATAAATTAAGAAATTCAATTTTCTGACTTCTATTAAACACTAATTAAAACTAATTATTCTTTTGATAAATTATTAGTCAATCTGATATTTAATCTAATATATGATAAAACTTTACTTTTCATTTTCATAATATTTCTTTTTTAAAAAAGCTTTTCTTAATTTTGAAAAATTAATTTTAACATTCTCTTCTTTCTATCGAATAAGTTTTAGATTTGTTGATAAATATTTTGTATATTTAGAATTAGTTTAAGCTTTAAGGAATATGGAAAGCAAGGATGATAAAATCTGTGGTTTAAACTTTTTGTAATAAACCTTTAGGATATTTTTAACAAATGGGTAGCTCAATATTAAGCTGATCAATATTATAATGGTTTAAATGAAAGCTGATATGACATAATTTTCTTCATATTCACATATATATTTTACAGCCGCTAGGAATATTGCACCAGAGCATAGCTAACCAGCTTATATGTCCAAAATATTAAATTTTTGCAGGATATATGGTTTAAAGTGTTAGGATAAGAATTAATAAATCAATAAACACAATCCTAACAAAGAAGCTTTTAAAAATATATCAGTTTCAAAATAAATCAGTATTATTATTATAATTGTTTTCTTCCATAGTTTAATCCATTCCCAAAAGTAGGTTTTTCCAGTATATTCATTAAATAAATACCCAATTTATCTTCTATATTTAATTTTATTAAGTTTGTCTTTCTTAAAGTAAAGGAATATGAACATCGAAAAAGGTAATATAAATGCTAATATTATAGATCCAGGCACTACAAATCCAAATATCCATTTAATGTGAGTATTCGATCCATATAGTAATGATACATCTCCTTAGATATAGTCTATTTATGAAATCCTTCTCACAGCTAAAATAGAAAAGAATCTAAAAATATTAAGAAATAAATGTTACTAATTTATTAGTGATGCGTAATTTTAAATATATAAATAAAGCATAGTTATTGATATTATTCTGCTTTGATATTTATGGTCTGTTAATAATGAAAATATTTTAAGTATTAAATAGATAATTAATATTTAAGATATTATTAATCCTATAGTTACAATAATTCTGCTGTAAATTAATTCAGTGCCTTCTATTTTAGACAAAAAGCACTCAAAATAATTAGCCATAAAGTAAGAAGTATCATTAGATTATTTAATAAAGCTTAAAGAGAAAGAAAATTTAATATTAAATGTAAAAATAAGTGAAAATATCCATAAGTAATTTAAAAATAATTTAAGTAAAATGCTTTCATGATCTAACTTAATAGATTATTTTTACCTTAATCAAGATTGAATAGAATATCTGCAAATTTTTATTTTAATTTAAGCGATGTAAATAATTAATTTGACTTTTCAATGCTTCGGATGGTAAGTAGAGTTGATAAAATCGCCCTAATAGTATTATTTATTTAGTTTACCAAAATGATATCAATAAGAAAGCTATTAATCTTTTTGAAAGCTCTTAGCATTATTAACATTCCAATTATTATTAGTTCTTAAAGTATTATCCATCTCCTCTTAAATCAAATTTATCACATTCCTCACACAAACCTCCAATATATCCCTAATTGCATGTATTGTCACCTATAGACCAACCGCCTAAACATTAATCAGTATTTTTATAGCAACGTTCAATATAATCAGATACATAATTTGGCCTCCAATAACCTTTTTTGAGTTAAATTCCATTTGAAGTTATAGCCTCAAATTTAGTTTTATCAAAGATAGAGCATTTTGTAGTATTGTAAGTCACTGAATAAAATCCTTAATCTGATTGGCATATTTAGCAACTACCAGATATGTAAAATTCACCTAATTAACAGAAAAAGCTTTTGACTCTCATTCTATAGGATAAGGCATTATCCTAATATTCAGTTTTACATTCAATAAATATTTCATATATTTTATCATCCTATGAATATGGGTCAAAATTGAATTTTGATTATCCCATATTAAACTTATTTGTATTTGAATCATAGGCAATACTTTATAAATGATTAGTATCTTAAATTGAATGGGATTTGATATCAAGAATTTTTTAGATCAAATTGCATGAAGAGTTTATTAAGTGAAGTGATTATTATTCATTCATGCTGTTTTTCAAAATTATAGAAATTTCATTAAAGTAAGAAATATATTGTTAAAGTTTAGGATTATAAAGTTGATAATTAGATAGAGTTTAACCACTAGGCACAGTTAAATAATTTGTTCTTACAACATGATTTTGTGAAATGATTTTATAAGGATTTAGTGATAATACTTAGACTAACTGATTATCAATCTATTATTACTAAGAATGCATTTCCTGGTAATTCAACTACAAAGCTAAATGTGAGGGCAATTCATTAATATTATTTGAAGAAAAATTAGCAGAATTAAATAAGATAATTGATTATTAAAAATTATCCACATTCAAACTGCTGTTCCCCTCTAGATAAACACCTCCTCCTACTTATGCTTAATTCTAGTAAATTAGTGTTTAATATAAAAGGAATCTATTTGAATTTAAATTAAGATAAATTCCTCCACCTTTTTCATCAGCAAAATTATTAATAATTCTTGAATGTTTTAAAATCACTCCTAAATTTTAAACTTATACTCCTGTTCCTTTAGTTCCATGGTTTGAAATAAAGTTTGAATGATCAATTATTATTGATCTATCTAGGATATTCTCTAATATTTCTAAAATGCATCCATGTTTTTTGATGAAATTCAAAATGCATTCAAATTTAGAAAGTTTGATGACATTAATTTATGTCAATTCAAAATTTAATAAACCATTCCAACAATGTTAACAGTTATTATTTATAAATTAAATTTTTCTAAGTAACAATTAAGTTTGATTTGTGATGCTATTCAAATGTATTAAGGAGCCTTTTTTATTAGAATTAGCTAAGATTTCTTCAAAAAATTAATTAATTGATACTAATTCTTATATCGGCTCTAATACTTCATTAATGATTAATGTACATTAATTAAGTTATAAATGAATATTTGAATTGAAGTAATTTAGTTTAGATTTATTGTATTAAAATGAATTTACATTTAATATAGAAATGTTATTTAGAAGCAAATCTGAATGAAAAAGCTTGTTTTTAGTAAAATCTAATAAGTTTACTGGATAAAAAGTAGATATATTCTAGAATAAAGAATTAGTAAAGAAAATCGAACTATAATCCGATATTTTTATAATACCAGATGATACAATTCCTTCTATAAATAATCCTTTCATCTGTACCTTGCATTCGATTATATTTATTATAGCATTATCTTAAGTTATTTTTTAGATTTCGATAGGGTTGACAGTTTCAATTGATTATAAGTAGAGCATAAATGCAGTATCAGTTTAAATGATATGTAAATTGTAAATTAATACTTCATTCTGAGCAACATTCTTATAATCAAACTCTAAATATAGAAATTGATTAAAAAGGGAAAAGCAATTGTATGCATGAATGTTGTTTAATAATATTCTATTGTAAGTAGATGATGGATAAATTGAAAATATTGATGAGGATAATGTATTTTAGACTTCTTTTAACACTAAATTTTCTATATCAATTGTTAATAAGCTATTTTTAGCATTAATTGTAATTGCCCCATCTACCTTAGATGTTGAGATTGATTAACTCTAAGCATGAAGGATGTCACAATTTTTGATAATTACAATTCCCTAACCTTATAAATTGATGTTAAAAATTAGGCTACTTGATGCAATTATATTACTAAATAAACCATTAGTAAAATTCACATTTGATGCTGTAATAGAAAGAGCTCCACTTTTAGTTTCAATTTTAAATGCATTCTTGATAATTAAAGTAATTTAGTTTAAATTATAGTGACTTTAAATATATACTTAATAATATTTATTCCATAATTCAGCTTCAAAGTAATTATGATGAAAAGCTTAAAAGTCTTCAATAACAAGGCTATTAGAATTTATGGAAATAAATGAATTGGAAGAATTGGTTAAAGCATTGTAAGAGCAGATAATATTCGT